AGAGCGTTGAACCGTAATACTTTATGCTCTTTTTTCGAGTGCATTTTCGGCAGACTGTTGGAGTGTTTTCGTAAGATTTTACACTTTGACCTTACCTTTGGTGAGCTTCAGTGAACTTTCTTCGGAAGAGCTTTCGACGTGTTTTCCTTATTTCGTGAGATAAGATGAGATGAGACTTTTTGTTTTCTTCATAACATTTCTACGTTCCTTACATGTTTTTCATCATGTTACATATTTTATCTTTCCCTCTCACTCTCTCTCTCTCTCTCTCTCTCTCTCTCTCTCTCTCTCTACCCCTCTTTTGGTACTTACTAACTGCATCATTAATCGTTTAACATTGTCCCATATGAACGGAGATATTTTTCGCAGATAAAAACCTGCTGGCACGATCGAAGACGTATGGTGTGCAGGGCTCAGTCTTTCTCACCAGCTGACACCACCTTGGCACGTGCTGATTTTTTGGAGAAAAACGTTCTACATCTCATTTTTAGCCTCCTGTTGTTAATGAAACTGTCTCGAGTGACCACGTGCTGTACGATCGAATGGACTACTTTTTTCTTGTTTTTTCTTTTTTCTTTCTTTTTTCTTTCTTTCTTTCTTTCTTTTTTTTTCGTTATTGTAGCAACCTTTCGCACGATTCACAAGAGGAATCAATTGAATCATTGTTTTTCCGTGTGATTGATCATAGAAGTACAATCAGGACTGGTCACGGTTATAGAATATATTGAATGACCATTGGTCAGTGTCCCATGAGAGACCATCATGGAGTATCGTTTGTTCGAGAACTCGTAAACATTCGGACAATCAAATCTTAACGATCTCCCGATCGTCTCCTTTGATTGTCCTTCGAAATCTAATACCATGGGAAACATACATGACTCGTCATAGCATTGTTCCATTTTTCGGAAATTAGTTTTAGACGGACTAACGTTAGGATCACGTTTTCTCGAGAATCATCATAAAAGTTTGAGATAATCCATTTTTTGGTATTTTCAAAGCACGTTTTCGCGATATATTCGTATAAGGTATATCCAAGAAGATATTTCCACCTTCCTTTCATATTCCAACGTTAGCTAGGTCGGGGATGATCACATGGTCGTAAGTCAGGTATAATGATATAAAAATCTAAGTCTAGGGCGAGAGATGAATTCATAGTAGTGGAAGAGGAGGGTCGAAGACCCCATTTCGTGTGAGCAAGTCAATGTGGAAAGAAAAGCAGGCGACTAAGAAGACCCTCCTCCTTCTCTCTTCTACCTCCTACTCTTTCTTCTTCTTCTTCTTCTTCTTCTTCTTCTTCTTCTTCTTTTACCACCTGAGAAATCTTGAGATCGTGCCTTCGTTATTCTCGCTTCATGCTTCGAAGATCTTCGTGGCACGTGGTACTCCCCTAAACCTTTGGTTCCTTTTTCCCCAAAAAAGATCCACCAAGCTTTCCCTTACAAGCTAGAAACGATGTCTTAACAGAGAGAAAGAGAGAGAGAGAGAGAGAGAGAGAGAGAGAGAGAGAGAAGAGAGAGAGGAGAGAGACAGAGAGCTGGTGCGTGAATAGAAATCAGGTAGTACTTTAATATCGAAGTTTAGTCAACTTTACAAGAAATTCTTTTTTTTCTCTCTCTTTTTCTTTCTCTCTCTCTTTCTTTCTCTCTCTCTTTCATTTTTTCTTTTTTCCAAAATTTCTGAATCAGATTTTTAAACTATTCGAATAATTTTTATTATGATTCTTAAAGTCGTTTATTTAAATATCTCCGATATTGAAAAAAGAAGGAACAGAATTTTTTTATGCCGATAAAAAAAAATTAGAGGATGTATAGAAAGCGTTTGCGAATATTCGAAAGAACGACGTTGTAGGTGGGTTTTGTAAACCGATGAAAAGTTTGAAGAAGTGCCCTTCGACCTAAAAAACGGAAGGGGTTTCACGAAAGAAGGGTGACGGCTTCTTCCGTAGCTCGAATGGACCGAGCGTTGTCTTCGTGTTCGTTCGGTGTCCCACCTCCCCCTCTTCACTCGTACTACTAGGGGGTGGGTACAGGGGGTAATATAAAGTGGGTGGATGAGATGAATGGGATATGTTGTGAGCTGTTCGGTTGAGCATTGTCGATCGAACAATGGCGTCTGGCTTGTGCACGCCGGGGGAGCACCAGGAGGCAGCTGACATGGTCTGACTGCGAGGAGCACCTCCGCCTGGCAACAAACGCGTAATAAAATTATGTGGAAAGGATATAAAGAGGGAAGGGAAAAAGTAGTAGAAGGTTTATGGTGATTCTTAATTATAAAAAAAGGCGATGTCCGTTCTTTTAACATTAAATACATGAATTACATGTTCGTATGGAATTATCAAGAGGAATCGATTTACAATTATCATACCTATCTCTTATCAAAAAAGACCCTTCCTATTATAATTGTAAGTAGAGAAGACTGGTTACGATAACACGATCGAAGTAGGACGTGTTTGGAAAGACAAGATAGATCGCTTATCGTATAATTTACAAACGACCGTTAA